TATCATTGAACTATTTAAGTTCATTAATTTTATATGATTTATTAGATGTACTTAAATAATGCATCTAAAGATTGAGATTTGTGTTTTATTAGTTAGATTATACATTAAAATTACAGTTTGATTTATTAAAATATTTTTAATAAAATAATTTAAAAAATAATTTTATTTAAAACATTTTAATAAATTTATAAATAAAAGTGAAATCTAACTTTTAAAATACTCCTTCGCCTAAGATTTTGGAGGCCCAGTTCTGTTATTTATGAACCACCGTTATGGGCCGGATTTTGACGGGCCTAGACGTGGAGGCCCAGGCTCCTTTTTTTTTTTTATGCTAACCCTTTTTTCAATCCCACATCAATCAATAAACCTTCTTCCATCGAAGTCTTCCTTCTAATCCCACCTCGCTATGGAACCAACAGCTCCGGCGGAGGTGGACCCGGAGCTCCCTGAGAGCCCTAACGATGTCGTTTCTGACGACTCATCACCGGACACGGACATCACACTGTCTCCAGCCCCACCGGAGGATGCCAATACGGAAGACCCACAAAATTCTCCGGAAGATCCTCACCGTTTCTCGTCCGAAAACGCCAACACGACAAACGATGCTCCGGTTTCGGACTCGCAGGGTAACTCTTCCGACACCGTTCCAGATGTTCAACCGCAGAATGCTAATTTGAACTCCACCGAGCCGGGTCCACCGGTCAGGAAACGTCGCCGTCGAAAGCGCTTCTTTACCGAACTCAACGGCAACCCGCTGAATCGACGTCCCAGAGTACCAGACGTCTCTAAGGAAGTCGACACGGAGGCTTTAATTGCAGTCTCCGTCGGTTTCCCAGTTGATTCACTCACTGAAGAGGAAATTGAAGCAAATGTAGTGTCGAGAATCGGCGGTAAGGAGCAATCAGATTACATTCTTGTGAGAAACCACATTCTCGCTCGCTGGAGATCAAATGTGTCTGTTTGGTTGACGCGGGATCACGTTCTTGAATCAATCCAAGCTGAGCTCAGAAACGTGGTTGACCCTGCTTACAATTTTCTTCTTGAACATGGGTACATCAATTTTGGTTTAGCACCAGCCATTAAAGAGGTCAAATTGAGGTCGTTTGATGGTGTAGAGAGAGGAAATGTGGTGATAGTGGGTGCAGGTCTTGCAGGCTTGGTTGCGGCAAGGCAGCTAGTGTCCATGGGGTTTAAAGTTGTGATCTTGGAGGGCAGGGACCGGCCTGGGGGACGTGTAAAGACGAGGAAGATGAAGGGTGATGGAGTGGTTGCTGCATTTGATCTTGGTGGTAGTGTCCTCACCGGAATTAATGGGAATCCACTTGGGGTTCTCGCAAGGCAGTTGGAGTTACCTCTTCATAAGGTGAGAGATAATTGCCCTCTATATTTACCTGATGGAAAAGCTGTAGATGCCGATATGGATTCTAGGGTAGAGGTTTCGTTTAATCAATTACTAGATAGAGTTTGTAAGCTTAGGCAGTCTATGCTAGAGGAAGTTAATTCCGTTGATGTTTCACTAGGGACTGCCATTGAAGCATTTAGGAGCGTTTACAAGGTTGCTGGGGATAGGCAGGAGAGGATGTTGTTGAATTGGCATCTTGCGAATTTGGAGTATGCCAATGCTACTTTGATGTCTAATTTGTCAATGGCTTATTGGGATCAGGATGATCCATATGAGATGGGTGGTGATCATTGTTTTATTCCTGGTGGCAATGAGAGGTTTGTTCGAGCTCTGGCGGAGGACCTCCCAATTTTTTATGGCAGGACTGTAGAAAGCATTAGGTATGGTATTGATGGAGTCAGGGTTTATGCATCTGGACAGGAGTTTCAGGGGGATATGGTTCTTTGTACAGTGCCATTAGGTGTGCTTAAGAAGGGAAAAATTGAATTTGTTCCCGAACTTCCACAGAAGAAGAAGGATGCAATTCAGAGGTTAGGATATGGTTTGCTGAATAAGGTTGCCATGTTGTTTCCATACGATTTTTGGGGTGGGAAGATTGACACTTTTGGGCATCTGACAGAAGATTCGAGTATGAGGGGTGAGTTCTTTTTGTTTTACAGCTATTCTTCTGTGTCTGGAGGTCCACTCCTTGTTGCCCTTGTTGCAGGGGATGCTGCAATTAACTTTGAGATGATGTCTCCAGTGGAGTCAGTAAAGAGGGTATTAGACATATTGAGGGGGATTTTTCATCCTAAAGGAATTGTTGTCCCAGATCCAGTTCAGGCAGTCTGTACTCGCTGGGGGAAAGATTGCTTCACATATGGATCCTACTCTTACGTTGCAATAGGCTCTTCAGGAGATGACTATGATCTTCTAGCTGAAAGTGTGGGAGACGGCAGAGTTTTCTTCGCTGGTGAGGCAACTAACAAACAATACCCAGCAACCATGCATGGAGCCTTTCTAAGTGGCATGAGAGAGGCTGCTAACATTATGAGAGCGGCTAAAAGGAGGTTATTGGCCCTTGGTGACAAAGTTAGTAATAATACTGAGGAAGGTGATAGTTTAAATAAATTGTTCGAGACTCCTGACATGACATTTGGGAGCTTCTCCATTTTATTTGATCCCAGGTCACAGGATCTTGAATGTCACGCATTATTAAGAGTCAAGTTCCAAGGTGAAAAACTGGACTCAGGTTGTTTATGTCTTTATGGTTTAATAACAAGGAAGCAGGCCATTGAGCTCAGTGAGTTAGATGTGGATGGGAGGAGGATGAACATCTTACATCAAAGGTTGGGGGTGAAATTGGTTGGCAGGAATGGTCTTTCAGATACTGCAGAATCTCTGATCACACACATCAGAATGGCTAAATTCAACCCGAATTCAGCAGTTTAAACCAGCGCCAGGCTTAAAATTGAAACTTTGCCCCATCATTCCTCAAGCAAATTTGTAGATGGTGATAACATTCTTCCTCGCAGATTTGACCTCCTTTCACTTTTAGGTTGGACTTATCATCTGTGTGGATAATAACCAAGTCCCACAGGCCATAGAAAGGCTAAATTCAATTGTACGATTATTGTACTTTTTCTCTAGTTTCTTTAGGGAATGCAGGATTTTCAGTTGTCAGTTAGCTTCTCGTTTTCTTTCCAAGGTTTTACTGAAAAAATAAAAATTCTTTCCAAGGTTGATACAAACCTTAGAAGAAATACACCTCAAAAGCTATCTATTGAGGTGTAAGAGTCCGAAGCCATGTGAATCTCAAACAATAAAAATCTCATCTGAAATTGCGTTATAGAAGAATTCTGTTGTATCCTTGAAATACCATGTTGGGTCAATAAAAACACATCATCTCAGCTTTTATATTCACACTTCATCAATCAGCTAAGGGAGAAAAGATGAGATGATGTGTTTTTATTGGCTTGGGATATCACGTCAGTGGTATCCCGGGGATAGAGCAGAAATTTTCCTGCATTATAACTAAGAAGACGGTGAATTGCTTTGGAACTCTCTCGGTTGAGGATGAAATGGAAGAGCAAGAAAAGAGAGTAATTAATTGTAGCAATTTGAAGCTGAAGTGGGCAATGGAGACGGTCAGTTTTAGATAGATATAAGTTGTTGATTGGTCCACGCTTCAAGAAAACACCATGCTTCAGCACCTTGACTACAAGATTGTCGCAGGTAGAAAATATCCATCAACACGCGGATCACAATTTGCCTTGTTCCAGTTTTATAATTTACAAAAGAAATATCAATGCCTTGTTCTATTCAAAATGTGACGAGACTAAGTAGTGCATGCTAATAAGCCAAAAGACACAGCATAATGTCTAGATCATAAGTGGAATTAGAAAATAAATCTAAAAAAGGAAGGAGAAGCTAAGATATAGTCACAGATAACATCATGATACATGATTTAAGGCATTATTTGAGTTCACCTATGAACAATCTAAACACACCTTAAGGGCGTGCTTGATTTAAGCATTCCTCCTGAGGAAGCCGTGAGCCCTCACATTATCAGCTTAGTTCAAGACTCATTAATTTCAGCACAAAAACTGACGTAGAGTTGAGTATGTTTGGAGTATATCAGTTATTGTGGCAGGGACGGGGCTACCATAGAAAGGGGTGGAAGCTGCTCCCATAAGCTTTTGAAAAATGTTTAATATGGTACATCCATTTTTAATTAGTACAAAGTTTGTTTTTGATGTTTGAATTATAAGAACCATTTTGAATTTAAAGAAAATATTTAGGAGTTAGGTAAAAGGTAAAGAGACTATTTCTTTCTTTGTAATTAATTTTTAAGATAAATAATTTTATTTGAGTATGAAAAAAGATTTTACATTAGTTGTAATTCTTTGTATAATATGTATTCTATCAATTTAACAGTTAAATTTGATATTTTAATTTAAA